TTCTTATAAAATATATTATTATATAGTCTATCTCCCTGAACTAAAGTCCAAGCATATTTGTTTTATTTCTGGCAGTCAATGTTAGATTTAACAATATTTTTTCTACTGCATCAACAAGACATTTATGGACTTAACTTTAGACCCAGTCCTCAGGCCATTGATAACATGTTTATTAATAAATACATTTATTTAAAGCACACTTTTTACTACAGATTTGATTGTGAATAATATGAAATAATTCGCTTTGCTATTGTATATAACATATGTATATATATATTATTAAACAATCTCTACATTCATGGCATATATCTACATGATTTTCCTTATAATTTGCAGCTCTAATTTAATTTGCGCTTGCAATTTTCATAATTCGAATTGATTTCGATCATAGCTTGCAAAAAACTGTTAACACTTTTTCGTTGTCTGCAAAAAAGTGTCTTTCAGTGACACAGGCAAAAAATACTCAGACAGAAAGTGTTTTTGTCGCGTCTGGCTTAGCTCTCTCGCGCTCTGAGGGAGATAGTTGTTTCTGTTTTCGTTTCCTCAAGTCAAACACTGATCGTTTGCTTGAGTTAAATGAAGTAACGGTAAGTTGCGTTTGTATGGGTAATCACGCGCGATTGCTGCGTTCTTTTTGTATGTATGTATGCGTGTATTTACATGCACACGAAGGCAAAAACATTTTCTGCTGAGTTTGTTAGTCAAAGTGTTTCTTGCTGAGAGGCTTTGTGTGAGAGAAAATCGTGTTAGTTTTACGCGACACTCATGTGAGTGCGTCACACGAATGAGTCATCGCACTGCGTCTGAGCGAAACAGATGCTGAAGAAAAACAGAGAGTGACGCTCAGAGAGAGACGTGTCTACACAATTTTTTTTGAGTATGATGCGAGAAAGAGAMTAAACGAAAAAACGCTCAACTCTCATTTGCAAGCTCTGATTTCGATATCGAAACGGAGCACATGAGCGAGTTAAGTGATTGCAGGTGTGTGCGAGAAATCCTTGGGAGGCTCATTTTCAATTTATGCAGAGACAAATCAAATTAGCCAAAGGAAAACGGAAAATGAGCTCAGATGCGGCACACACACACTCATGTGGGTATGCGTGTGTGTGTGTGGAGCCAGGTGCTCAAATTGCCACAGGTAGAAATAAGTCGCTGCAAGCCGAAATTCAGCTGCAATTGCAACTGCAACAGGAACCACAAGAGGTTAAGCGAGCAAAGTTCACGAACGTGGCACATGTGTGTGCGTGTGTGTGAGTCTGTGTTAGCTGCAACTGCATCTCAATTTCAACTGCAGCTGTGCAGTAGCGAGCTCCTATTTGGGGTCTCGGTCTCGGTCTCGGTCTCGGTCTCTGTGTGGCTGCCGCCGCTTCCAGTCGCTATTCCCAGTTCCAGCTCCAGTCTTCATTTTTTTCTTTAGCCACATTCACTGCGTTTGGAAAACTCTTGACCTTCTCACGCGTCTGCAAAGATTTTCATAATTGTAAGCGCCATTTCATTTATTTTGCTTCTCTTTTTTTGGGCAAGAGAAAAGTTGATTTTGAAATATGATTAGGCGCAACGGAACGTGTTTAAAGTTGGGAAAGTTGATCGATCCCTATATAGGCTCTTGACTGTCAAGTCTATATCCAACTTGATCTCAGCGAGATAAACTTGACTTTCATTGACTAAAGTGCAATAATATTTGATCTGATATTCTTAAGACTGCAACCCTGACCAGAATTATTATCGTATACTTTAGCTATGTTCAACATTTATCCAGATCTGCATAGCATTTATTTAAGTTCGCCTTATCTTGGGCAAATTTATGAAGATCGCGCTGCACTTGCAGGCAGCGCATTCATTGGATTCATTTAGTATAAAAGATAAGGCTCTATGGATTGCCAGATATTCGTAAAGCGCTGACTGACAAAATGCCAACATCGAAATATCAACTGCTCGTGCTGAATCTCTGCCTGGCTCTGCTCAAGACTCCCATAGTTGAGGCGGGCGAGCAATTGCCCTCCCAGCAGGAGCAGGGGCAGGAGCAGCAGCAGCAGCAGGATATCTTTCGCATCAATGGCGGACAGCTGATGAATCAGTCGGTGCCCTATCAGGTCTCCATGCAGATGCAGCGCCGCGGCGGCTGGCGTCACTTCTGCAGCGGCTCCATAGTCAGCGAGCAGCACGTCCTCACCGCCGCCCACTGCGTGGACAAGCTGGAGCTGCAGAGCTTCAGCGTGCTCGCTGGCGTGCTCAACTGGAGGCAGGCCGGCCAGCGGCACAGGATCGTGGCCAAGCACGTGCATCCCCAGTACACAATGAGTCCACGCATCATCTACGACATTGCCCTGCTGCAGGTCAGTCCGCCGTTTCAGCTGCAGCTCGCCGAGATATCCACAATACATTTGGGTGGCAGCGAGCGTATTGGCCGGCGCATACCTGTCCGGCTCACCGGCTGGGGCTCCACACTGCCCAGCAGCACGGGCGCTCAGCTGCCCGATCGGCTGCAGGTGCTCGACTATCAGACCATCTCGAATGAGGAATGCGCCAAGCGAGGCTTTCGCGTCACGCCCAACGAGATTTGCGCGCTGTCCGCGCCGGGCCGCGGCGCCTGCATGGTGAGTAACTGACTCGTTCCACTGAGATTCGCCCCAGCTAATGCGCATCTTCAGGGTGACTCGGGTGGTCCGCTGATCTTGGCCAGCGGAGGCAGCAGGCAGCAGCAGCTGGTGGGCATTGTGTCATATGGCAGCTCCACCTGTGCCCAGGGCAAACCTGATGTCTACACGCGCATCTCCAGCTATTTGCCCTACATCAGCGCGATCCTTAACCAGGACCTGCACAAACAATAAATTCCGCAACGACTTGCACTTTGTCTCATTTCGTTTACTTTTATTTGGTTTCTTGACTCATTTCTTCTTTTATTTTTGTTTTGGCTGCTAATTAAAAATCTTGTTCAATATTCGCCACAGTCGTTGGCCTGGCAGCATCTTCTGCCCGGCCTTAGGCCCAGCCCTGGCTCAGGGTCGGCTCTGGCCCTGGCTCTGGCTCTGGCTCGGCTCCAGCTTGTGGACCATGATAAATGAAAAAAGCAATTTATCGCACATTTAACTCAATTCAGTTTCTTTATGGGCAGCCGAAGCGAGCCGGCGAGGGGCAGCGGCTTCGAGCTGGGGGCACGCCTTACGGGCATTCAGCCAGCCAGCCAGCCAGCCAAGCGGACGGACGGACAGACAGACGGCCAGGCAACTAGTCAGACAGACAAAGTTTCGCTAACACGCACGCTTCACAGACTGCAGTCGGCTGCCCCCTTGGCCGGTTGCATGCCACATGCCGCTGCGTGGAACCGTGGCACGGCTCTTGTAATTCGATATTAGATTTTATGTGCGACAAATACGAAGTGCAAACATTTTTATGTTCCCTCAATTTCTATGCTGCATTCGTATTTGTAGTGGAACCAAAGCGAGAGATGGCCCAAGCAGCTCTCCTCTTCAGTTACATAATTAAGTTCCAAACAAATAATACGGAGCTCACGCTTTTCGATTTGACTGCAACAGATTGGCTAAAAGAGCCCCAGATCCAAGAGCTGAGCTTGCTTCCTGTAGGCAACTCAATTCATTCGCCTTGGAATGAATTAAGTCGAGCTTATCGCAGCCGAAATGTAAATTCTAATTCGTCTATTAATTCTTTTCATTCCATTTGTGTTTCGATGTAATCTATAACTATTTTAGCCCCATAAAGTCTTTGCTAGTTAAATTTATGAAGCCATCCCAATGAATGACGTCTTTTGACAACACGTCAACCAAACTCCCCGAAAGTTTTTATGGCACTTGGAGGCTAGGCTTGGCTTATTCGAATAACATTTCTATTTTAAGATGAGACTCGACTGCTGTTAACTAAAAAGTAGAAATATTTAAGCTGCTTAAATCATATCGAGGTGGCATATTAACTAGTTTTCGATGTTAAAAACTATACATAACTGAATATTTATATGGTTTGTTCTTAGCAGGAGGTATTAGTTATTTCTTGGCTAAAAAGCGAGGTAGACCAAATACCAAAATAAATTTATATAATTTTGCTGTATTTAAATTTCGATTTGAAAACTAAAATGACAAAAATTTAATATTTCTATCATGCGAGCTGTACACAAAATTGCCTTATAATTACTCTTACTCATATCAAGACTTTGTCTTCAAATATTCCTTTCAAAACGCATGCCTAATACTTATACTATACCAATAATGCATAATAGACTATAAACTCTTCTGAAGTTTTCCTAGTATGCTGAGTAATATTAAATATTTATATGGAACTCTGATAGTCCATGCCCAGTACCACCCCCAATCAAATAATATATATGGTCACACTGTCCGCATGACAAATCGTTCCAATTCGCTTCATTTCGAGTTCCAGTTCCAGTTAAAGCTGGTAATGCCTAGAAAATATATAGCGACTAAACAACTACGTACTTAGTTATGAATATGAATAAGAATACAAGTCTGCGCTATTGTGAGTGTGCAATGGAGCAAGAGGCGCGATATGGGGGTAAAGAAAGGCTGAGAGAAGGAGAGCTCAAGCGAGAGAGTGAGACTGGGAGATTGGGCTTGGGTATTTGTTAGACGCTCGTCGCTGACCGCATAAATTCATTTAGATCAATCAATTCAATTTGTTTGTCAATAAAGCCTAAATGAGTATTTCATTTAAACAAATTAAAATTCGACCCATTTGAATGTCGCGCAACAGAAATTCCAACTGAACCCGAACAACAACAATTAAAATTGACGTCGAAATGAGACTGGGATTGGGTCGAGAGACTGCAGACTGAAGCCAGAAATCTCTGTATGCATATACATATGTATATATATGCATCTGCATAAGTATATATACACACATACATATAGTTATGTATTGGTATATATATCTTTGGCTTGGCTGTGGTCTGGCAGCCTTTGTTGACTTTTCATTGTCAATTAAAATCAAATAAATTTATTTGCTGCTTGACATTCGCGTTTTTCGCTCACTCTCTCAATTCCGATTCCGATTTTGATTCGGATTCAGACACAAACACAGATTGTGCCCAGCATCTGTGCAAGTGCATTGGGCAATATATTGTTTTGACCTTCTTCTCGTATTTATGGCAATTTATTTAGCTGCGCTCTGCAGCAAATGCGTCGAACCCTAGAAATAACTACTTAGCCTTGCCCTGCTTGGCCACGGCTTCCATGGCCTTCTTGACTGTTTCGGGATCACCCAGAAATTTCATGGACGTCACCGGCGCCATGCTGGCGTCTAGCTCATAGATAAAGGGTATACCCGTCGGCAGGTTCAGCTCCATGATGGCCTGGTCGGAAATCTTGTCCAGATACTTGACGATTCCCCTCAGGCTGTTCCCGTGCGCGGCAATGATCAGCTTCTTGCCCTCCCTTATCTGGGGCACAATCACCTCGTTCCAGTAGGGCATGGTGCGCTCGATGGTCAGCTTCAGCGACTCGGTCTTGGGAAACTCCGCGGGCTTGGGGCCATCGCAGTATCTGGGATCCTTGGTTATGCACTCGTAGTACTGGTGATCCTGCTCCATGGGCGGCGGGGGCGTGTCGAAGCTGCGACGCCAGACCTTCACCTGGTCCTCGCCATACTTCTTGGCAGTGTCCGCCTTGTTGAGCCCCGTCAGACCGCCATAGTGGCGCTCGTTGAGGCGCCACGACTTCTGTATCGGTATGCCCTCCTGTCCACATTCCTTCAGTATGATATCGAGCGTTTTCTGCGCTCGCGACAGCACCGACGTATGCGCTATATCGAACTTCATTTTGGCATCCTTGATGGCCTTGCCCGCCGCAATCGCCTCCTTCTGTCCCTTCTCGCTCAGCTGGGCGTCGTACCAGCCGCAAAAGAGATTCTTCTGGTTCCACTCGGACTCACCGTGCCGCACCATCACCACCACGAACTTATCACAGCTACTCGAGCGCCGCAGCGGCTGCTGCATCGCCGCGCAGCTGCAGCCCTTCTGGTTGCCCCCGGAACAGGGGCTGAGGGAGTGACTGGCGCAAGCAAGTCTTGGTAGAACAATCATAGCTTCAAATTTATACAACTAGAAAATTGGACTAGGAAAATTTAGTGTTTGGTTTTCGCAAAGCTAAATCTGTAACTGAATAATCCCCATGAGCTTGGACGCCATGATAGCTAGATATATAGAAAATTGAGAGTGCATTGGAAATATGATTTTTTTTTCTGTTCGTGTTTAAATCTGAATATTGCAATATTTACAAAAGTATATAGATATTAACTATATTAATTTAAAATTATTAATTAAATATATGAATACTATTTCTTGTGGTATTATGAGGTCTATTGGTCAAATTACTAAATTTAAAAATTTTAATCATATATTACATAGAATCTTTATGAGCTTGGGCGCCATGATAACTAGATATATAGAAAACTGGGATTGAAATAAATTTGTAAATTATATAGGAAATCATTTTTATAGTATTATGAACTCTATTGCGCAAATAACTAATTTTAAAATTAAAATTGATATAATATATATTATTTCGTATGTCAAATAGAAAGCTCTAAAAATTTAGCAACCATTAAAAATTCGATATCTTAATTAATGAAATGAAACTATAAATATTATTTCGTACATTTAAAAGAAAGTTATAAATATTTAAATATAAATTATAGCTCTATCTTTAATATAGCGAATGTAATTGGTTTTCATGTAAGCGAAAGACCTGCTTGGATCGTTGCCAAATAGCTGAGAGAGCGTTGCATATGGGCGAGTAGAGTAAATCATTTTGTGCATAAAAGCGAACGACAGCTCAATGCAAACTGTCAAAGTGAAACGCGAGCAGAAAAGCTATTGGCTTGGAGTATGTGGCTCAGTCTATGTGGTTAGAGCAGGCGCAGGAGCCGCAGCTATAGCAGGAGCAGGAGCAGGAGCAGAAGCAGAAGCAGCCATAAAGAGCTTTTACGACCGCCACTAGGCGGCAGCTCAAATGATAAATTGTCTACAGTGGTCAGCTCTGGTGGTGCTGGCTACCAGAGATCGATGCACCACCAGCCAAATAGCCACATAGCCAAATGGCCAACAGTCTGAGCAACGCAGTCGGAGATTAGACAATTTGTAGAGGAGCTGCAGCCTGTTTGCCTTTGCCTGCAAGCGCCACTCTGCTGGCAGAGCCAAGCACGGGCCATCGGGCCATGTGGAATGCCAAGCGGCCGAGCCGAGCTGAGCTGAGCTGCGCTGCGCTGGTGCTCAGTCCGCTTTACAGTTGCCTCGTGTTAATTGAAAATTGTACGGTAATGTTGCTTATCGCCTGGCTATCAGGCGATGTCGTCGTCGTCGTCGTCGTCTCCCAAGTTTGAGGTCTGGGGCTTGCGTGTAGCATGGAGCCGTGCGGCATGCTTGGTGCCACACCTCGAGGCCTCACGCATTGGCAGAGGTGTTTGATAAACATCCAAAGTCATGTCTCAAGATTTTTGTGGGCTTTTTTCTCAGAGTGTGTGCGCTGTGTGTGTGTGTGTGTGCGTATGTCGCTTGCGGTGAAAATTTCTCAAACGCTTTTTGACAACTTTCATGTGAACGCACTTAACAAAATTTATCGCCTCGTGCATTATTTGTGGCTTTAATTGCTTATAGACGTTAAGAACTTGTCCTCCAGCTTCTTGTCGCCGCCAACACCTGCGCGCTGCGAGGGCAAGGCTTAGCCTTCTAAGCAGGGCCTTAACGCGTTGCCAGTTGACACGAAACGCGGCTTAAATGCTTTTACATATTGATTGATGGGGCGACTATTCAGAGTAATCAAGTCTATTACTGGAACAAGCCTCAACTTTTGTACTGTTTCAGTTCTTAGATGCACACACGTATTCATATATATGTATATGTGTATATGAGTGCCTATGCCCACTGAGAACTTCATTAATTTGCCGCTGCCAATTGCCTTGACGAAATTCCTGCTAAATTAAAGAGAGACAAAATCCACTTTGTATTCGCTGCTTTAGATCGTTCCCGATTTGGTTTTTATTGGACTCGTTGCAGTTAACGCCAGTAGGTTGCAAGGTACGCGGTGTTAACAAGATAAGCATCCTGTCGGATCCGCCCGGAACGCCATCATTATTATGACATTTTGGTTGATTGGCCGGCTCATGCGCGCGGCCTTGTTTGTCGGCCAACTTCTGCGGAATTGTGCGTGTGGCCGGCCGGGCTAAGAACTACACAAAAAAAAATATATATGTATATATA